GCCTGGAAGAACTTCTGCGGTGGTTTTTTTTTCCTGCTGGGAAGAGGAGCAGGCGGAGAAGCCCTGCTTGCCGGCGAGCCAACGTGGCAGAACTGGGCCAGCCTGGGGCTCGAGGTCAAGCAAGATGCTCCATGCCATCCCCTGCCCTTGCCGGGTTTTTGGCTCCCCTTGGGGCTGGATACACGAGGATGGGGAGCCCAGCTACCAGGAATGGCCTGCTCTGCATCGCTCGTTTATTTTATCGTGGGGAGCTTAACATAGGAACAAAGAATTGAGTCCTGGGCTGGGCACGATGGGGTTCACCGCCGCCCCCCGTGCCCCTGGTGCCAGCTGGGATTTAAGGCTGCGCCGCCGTCCGTGCCAAGGGCTGGGGGCTTGGGGAGGGTGCGTGGACGCAGGGAGGGGACTGAGTGCCACGCACAGGAGCGTGAGTCCCCAGGCGAGATGCCGCCGTCAGTCTCCGGCGCGGCCTCGGAGCTGGAGGGTGGAAGCCCGGGGTGGCGAGAGGCGGCCAGCAGCCCTGCGTGCTTGTTTTCCAGGGCAGGAGGCCAGGGGCTGCTCCCGTCTTCCCTTCCCCTCCGGTCTCGCTGGCAGGAGGCTGGGCGCTCAGCTGACAGTCACGGGGAAGGCATTAGCAAAGCAAAGGGGAGTTTCCTCGCCCTATCACAAGAGAAGACGAGGTGCTTTCCCCTGGCCCTCTCTTCCTGCAACCCTTCCCCATGTCCCCGCATCGCCTATGGGAGAAGCCGGGCACAGCCTGGGGGTCCCCCACCATCCGCACACACAGCAGGGAGGAAAACCAGCCCCGCACCAAGCGCTCGCCCATCTCCCTCTGCCATTAAACCCATTGCATCCTCCGGCGACCAGCAACCGGTGTCCCCGTCCCCCAGTCCGCGTCCCCTGGTCCCTGCCCCAGCAACCGTGCACACCCGCGGCTGCCGCGGGGCTGCTCAGAGGATCACCCGCCGGTCCAGCTGCTCTGCCCGCCCAGCTCGCTGGTGCCGCGCTTCCAGGTGCTTGTTTTGGACCTTCTCGAAGTGTTGCAGCAGCTCCGTGTAGTCGATGTTGGAGGCCGTCGTCCTCTTGAAGCCGGCGCTCGGTTTGGTGCTGTCCCTGCGGGGAGGGAGCAGAGAGTGAGGGCGGGAAGGGGCAGGAGATGCCCGTACCCTGGGCATCCGTCACAGGCAGCACCAAGGGCTTGTCCTGAGGAAGCCGAGCCCAGCACACGCCGGTGATGCTGGTGCCCCATTAAACGCCCCCAAAGCCCTGTTTCCCTCCCCCAAAGGCATGAGACAGAGCCCAAGAAGTCCTGGGACAGGAGAGAGGGGACAAGGGGCATCTGCCTCAGCACCCTGGCCCCACAGGGGAGGTTTAACCCCTCTGACATGCATGCCTCCCCCCGACCCAACCCACTCCGGCCAAAAGCAGCGAGGCTGTCTGGAAAGGATGCTGGCGCCACGTGCCTCAGTTTCCCTGCCTGGTTTTAGAAGCAAGCAAAAAATATTTGTGTGCTTTGGCACGGAGGAGGACTGGTGGCAGTGGGGACAGCCCCAGGGGATGAGCCCAGGCTTCAGCCCCATTTGTGGGCTTCCCGGGGCTCCAGCCATGGGTGCTCATCCCCCAGAGCTATCCCCACGCAAGGGAAGCGGGGGGACCAGCCACGGGAAGCCCGTCGGGGGACACGGGGGAGCCCACGGGAGGATGGCAGGCAGCTCTCGAGGCCCTGGCGTCCCCCCGGGGAGGGGGCAGCTGGGGCTGGCCTGTTATGAAAGCCGGCTTCGGTGTTTGAAGGAATGTAGGTCAGAGTTAATCATGCTCAGGCCGTCTGACAGCTCCGGTTGCTCGAAAAAACCCCGCTGCCAGGGCCAAGGGGAGGGGGGGGAAAGGGGGGGAAGGAAGCACATGCAGCCCCCCATCCGCCCCCCCCCCAAATTACAATCAGTGCCGGGCTGTGGGTACGAGCTCAGCGCCGGAGGCCACGAGGGATAAAAGGGGAGCTGTTAAAAGCCAAGCAGTGGTGGCGGCGGTGGGGGGGGTTAATTCAGAAACCTGCCCATCTTGGGAGCTCGTCTTTTTGTTCCCAGGGCTTTGCAAAGGGAGACCCAGCTTCAACATCGCTCCTCCCTGCTCGTTAGCCGAGGGTTGGAGAGCAAATCCCACCACCGGTGTCTGACGAGCTGGGCAGGCAGCACCCCACAGCAGAGAGCACGAGGATTTCAGCTGGTCCCCAAGGAGCTGCCACCCTTGCACATCGCTGCTTATGGCTCCCCGAAGGCCAGGGGTGGGAATGGAGAAGCAAGCCCCAGCCGTGCACGGGTGACGGGGTCCTTTTGGGTGCTGTAAAGACTGTCCGGGCTTGGGGGGGACACACACGCTTTGGGAGCACCCTCCGGCTGCCGGCGTCTCTCTCCGTAAACCTCCTTCCCGGCTCTGCTCGTTTCCATAGCGACCCCACAAGTGAAATTTTCCATCCCGGATGCCAAATGCCTGTGGATGAGGCACAGCCCTCCCAGGGTTACCAAATATAGACACAACCCCCCCCCAGCCAACGCTCCCGGCCACGGGGCAAGGAGCAGCCGCGGCCGCAAAGGAGCCGGGGGGCGAAAGAAGAGCATGGGGCTGAGCCCGGGATCGCAGGGATGCTCGGCCGCGGGGGGGACAGCTGGTCCGGCCCCGATGCCGATGCCGGGGTCTGTCCCCACGGCACTTACGCGGTCTGCATGAGCTCGGGGTTGGGCACGTACTGCAGGCGGTGGGAGAGGAGCTGGAAGGCGCTGCTCTGGGGCAGCAGCATCAGCAGGCCATACAGAGCCTTGATCAGGTAGGGGTTGTTCTTCACGTCCAGCAGCTGCAGGCGGAGATCTGGAAGAGAGAGGAAGAGGATGGGGAGGTGGGTAAAATGCATTTTGCCTCCAGCCCCAATAGCAGGTTCCTCCCAACCCATCTGATGGTCCTGGGGAGGCTGTAAGCCTCTGCCAGCCAACCTGAGGGGCACCCGCATGGCACCAGCAGCCTCTCCCCTTGCGTTACTCTTCCATCTTTGTGTCCCACATGCAGCAGAAGCCCCTCTCCTCACCACAGCCCCCAGCTGCCAGCTAGGGAAGGGGGCAGAGGCTCGCCAGTCTCCCACCCCTGCTGCCGCTCGTCCCCCAGCCCGTCCGTGCTGTCTGCCTGAGGATACACGTGCAACATGAGATGGCTCCTCAGCTTCTGCAGAATTAGCAGAAATACCCCCACCCTGGGGCATCACACGTCCGGAGGGCTGGGTGACACCCTCCCGGGGACTCTCTGGAGCAGAAGGCATCCTTTCCGCCCGGCCCTGACGGTTACGTGTCTTGGGCCACGGTGTTGCTCAGCAGAGGGGAAACCACCTCCCTGCTCCACCCCTCACGGTGCTCAGGGGTAGAAGGGCCTTCCAGAGCCCTACAGACAACTGAGGTCCCACCTGGGGCAGCCCAGGGGATGGGACGAGCGGTCCCCGCCCCAGCACCTCACCTCCTGGTTGCCACTAGCACCTCTGGTGTCTCCCTGAGAAGGGGCCCATGCCCAGGGATGCTGCTTTATGGGGGGGGCACGTCTGTCCCCCACCCCAAGACTTGGAGATTAAGGTGAGCGGGATGGGGAACCCTCAAGGAATCGTCTGGGGCTGTGGAAAATCACCTCGCATGGTGGGGAGGAAAGTCATCCTCGGGATGAAGCACAGAGTACCACGGGAGGAAGCGTGAGCAAGGGCCAGCCCACATCTCCATTGCCTGGCTGCTCCAACCCTCTTCCCTCAAATATTCTCCCAAATATTCCTCCAAATATTCCCCCAAATAGCCCTGGACCTATAAAGTCCCCTCCCAAAGTCCTTTCTGGGACATTTCCCAATGCCCCCAGTGCCCAGCTCCACCTCCAGGGAGAAGGAGCCCAGGGGCAGCCGAACACCATCACAAGAACCCCCCCTGCCACGCAGCCACAGGTCACCCTGCCACGTCCCCCCCCCCCCC